CTTTTGGATAAGCCGGTCATATAGTTGGGTCAGGAGCGTGTCACTGAGTTGTGGTCACCCCATGATGTACCAGCTGCAGCAGAAACAGCACTGAAGAGGAGAAGAGGCTGTGCTGGTTTCAGAGGAGCTAATTTTTGGTATGAAGAGGTCAGATCTTTTGAAGTATGTGATGTGATCCACCTGAACTAGCCGTGGAGGCTGGTATAAGGGAATGGGTGCAGACCTGATTCCAGCTACTGGTACCTCTGGGAGAGATCAGCACCAGCTCCAGCCCAAACCATCCGGTCCTTCAGCAAGCACTGAGCTTGTTGTCCTTGGTGTGGAGGAGCCCAAGTGTGGCAGAGAAGACTTTTGAAGGCTACAGACATCCCTTCTGCATTTGGGTTGTTGAGCTGGAGAGCTCACACTCACCAGCTTTTCTCTTATCCCAAAGACATCTAGGTAACTTCCTTTTATATCTCCTACACCAGCTCTGGTCCTCACTGTATCTTCTGGCTCCAGGAGCTGGAGATTTAGAAAAACGTGAATTATTTTCTAAGTAGAAACAAATCAGGTGAAGTTTTGTCAGAGAGAGACCATGTCTTATGAGCTGTCTCTTTTTTGCCCTCTATGCTGAACTGCTTGCATCAAGACCTTAAACCCCTCTGTAAAAGCTGTTTGTGTGCGAGCAGATGGTATTTCATTGTCTTTTGCTACTGATCTTGAATTATCAGCCTTCATAATGAAAATACCAATTCAGCCTTGTCTGCTCTGCTGCAACTCTACCAGGACCACTATAATGCACACACCATATATGCTGAATATTTATTGTGGTACTGTGCATCTTATTTATTGTATATGCAATGTATTTTGTAGGTGAAAAATGATACCTTATCTAAGTCAATGAGCATAACCAGGAAAAATATGGCAGAGTAATCATGTGATTCATAATTGACATCTGCTCTCCAAAGGCTTGGACAGAATCTGAATTTTCAGCATAAGCTTGAAATGATCTTCTGTTTCCTGGCCTGGGCAGAAGTGTGCCACCACTTGCACTGGCAGCTCCATCAGTCTTTGGTATTTCCATAATTCCCTGTGTGCATAGGAGAGCTGTGACAGCACATGCTGAAAATATTTCAAGAAGTTGCAAAAAGAGCTGCTGTGATTCAGTGTCCAGAAACAACAGGGGGAAATATTTTTTTTCTATGTGAATGCTAATGAAGACCAGCCCATGTGCATCCTTAGGGTTTTCAGTGGGTTTTTTCTATGTGCATTTGTGTATTTATGTTACATCTGTAAGTGTGTTCATGAATATACGTGTGCCATTTTGGGCTAGCATTTCTGTTTCCCTTTTCTGCTTTGATTTCACATGTCTGTTGCTACCCACCATACAGCCTGGACATTTGCAGGCTGGTGGGACCTCTGCAGCATCACTCCCTCCAGTTTTTTTTTCTTCATTTCGTTTCTCCCCTAAAACCCCACTTTATAAAAGTGCCTCTTTCTGTAACAGTGATGGGTTCCTTGTACCTTTTGGAGCAACATATGCTCAAATTGCTGAGAAAAGAATTTTTGGGAGGATTTCTCGTTGTGTATCACTTCTGTTCCTGCTGGTCATGAGGAGCTGCTGGCACAGTGTATGCCTGACTGCATCCAGGTCCTTTTAGACAGTTGTCTCATGAGCCGAATTGCTCACTGGATTTCTAGCAGTTTTGATGTATTAATGGGACACACACAGTTATCTATGAGCAACTCCCCAGGAGAGAGGAGGGCTGCAAATAAGTTACAGAAATTACACAGTAGGTAACATCATAGCTGATTTACAGAAATGGGAGTTTAAAGAGAGGGAAGTGAGTTGAAGGTGGAATTTGAAGAACTGGAGTTAAGTTCAGTGAGCACCATAACTTGTGAAGTGCTCCTTTGGCAACCTTACTGCTCTTGCATTTATGGCTTCATCTGTGTCTGCTCCTGTAGCCAAGCTCCCGGTGCAGCCTCTCCTTCAGCAATGACACTGATTTGGATGTGTCTTCCTCAGGTCAGCACCTATTTTACTGAGATTTTAGGGACATAATACTCAAGTTGGCTGAAACAGAGCAGCAGTTCAATGCTATTGAAGAGTGACAGGGCTGACAAATGGGCAAGGAGACAAACAAACAAGACTCAGTTCCCTGTTCTTCAAACAGCCACATCTTTTTTCTGGATGCGTGGTTTTGTTGGCAGAAATCACTGGGGTGCAGTCAATGTGATGCCTTTAATCCCACTCGTGGAGGGCTGTTATGGAGGGCTGTTTTTGGGATAGGGAAGCATGCGTGGGGGATCTTATTTTCCTCAGGACTCCTTGTGGCACACAGTGTGAGATCATTCCAGCTTGTCATGCTCAGTCTGCAGTGAGGGAGTTGGTTGAGGCTGAAGCAAAAGGGATGCTGAATACACACAGCAACAGGGACCTATGGTGCATTCCAGGAGTTCTCTGGATCATGTTATCAACAGCATCTCAAGGACAGCCTCCATCTCTGTTGGCACCACTTTCCCAGAAGGAGCATGGCCAGAGATAAGGCTCTGTTGTAGCATACTTAAAGGAGAGCAGAGGCTTCACCACTCTAATATGCATAGGACTATAAAGTTTATGTAGATATCGGGGTGGAGACACTAAATCCTGCTCTCATTGAAGCCCTTTGGAAGGCTCCCAGTGACTTTACAGAGATTCTGAATTACAAAGCTACCGCTTTATTTTTTTCACTCTCACACAATGTCAAGGATAAGTATTTTCCTTCCAAATGTCCCTTCTCCCCTCTGCAGATCTTTGCTATATGCCAGCTCAATTCAAGGACTGCGTCAGTTATCAGCACTTTGTGCCAAATAACCAGACCTGGCATACAATCAGTGCTCACAGTCCACAAAACCAGAGCAAAATCCATCCCAAATGCCACGTCTTTCCTGCAGTTTGCCACATTGAGACATTCCACTTGGAGTCAGGTGTGCAGGGTATCATCACGCCCTCCATGTGTTCACATGGAAGCTGCCCTTCCCTAGGAGCACAGGTAGAGCATCCAGGCAGAAGGAAGGAGCAGGGGCTTGAAGCAGGGTCTGCAGGAAAGCACCTAAAAGTAGAGCTGAATTGTAATGAAAGTAGCTTACAGTGCTTGGTAGTGATAATATTCTGCTCTGCCCAAGTGGACATGCTGATGTGTCCAGCCTGGGAGCAGAGCCAGCCTTGAGTTACATGTTGTGGGGCTCGCAGTGCCTGAAGCATTGCTCTGGTACTTGGGCTCCTTAATACAGCCCAGTGTGTTCAGACAGATGGATATACATGCAGCACAGGCAGATGGATTTACGTATGTATATATGTGTGGGGGTGTATAAATATGGATATGCACAGATGCATGCATTTTATATATCTAAATATATATTTATAGATGCATAGCTTATATATTCATATACATAATACAAGTCTATATGAATATACATCATATGTGTGTACATATGCATATTAACATATCTGTATGCATATATATGCATATATATACACTATATACGTACATATGTATACATATATACATACATCTGCATGCCTATACCTGTGTATGCATGCGTTTGTATATGCATAGACTTATATAATTTTTTATAATCTAAATAAGACACAAAAAGAAAGAGAAATCTATAATGTAGCTACATAACAAAATAAAATGAATATTTGCATTTAAGTGCATTTCGAGGTTTTGGATAGGTGGAGTTGTACCTATGACACAGTTCTAAAGATTTTGCACTTTTGCAGCTAGTATTTGATGAACTCAGTCAGATAATTTTTTGCAGTAGAAAATTGTTCCAAAACAAATCAGAGCAATCAGCTTATCCATATATTTGGGCATGTGTAAAGAGACTGTCTCAATGAAGCTGTGGCTGCCTTTTCCATCAGTGTTTCTGCAGTGGTGCCATCTTCATGTGCTTAGCGACATCCTTGGCATGATATAGATGTAGAGCCACGGAATCACCAGTTGTTGAACTAACCATTGAATCACCTATTGAACACTAACCATTGAATCACCATGGTTAGTGATTCTAACCTTGCAACTCGTCATCGCCAGCACACACCTGACTGCTGCAGTAGGCTGGGGCTCTCAGCTCTATAGGGGGCCTCTTCATTTGCCAAGTCCTTGCTGTGGGGAAGGAGGAAGGTACAGCCCTGGGAGAACCGTGTGAGATAGCAGAGCCATGTGGAGCAAGGGTCAGGTGCCTCACCGAACGAAGGAAAAAACAAACTGGAGGTGTGGCAAATGCCACTCTGAGTACAGGCAGAGAGAACGAAGACATGCAGCCTGCATGGGCAAGGGTGGACCAGGTGAATTCTGGCATCCTGGGTTTGGAAAATATCCTTTGTCCCTCTTAACAATCCTTGTTGATGCCAAGAACCTGCTGTCTGTGTTGACACAGTGCTCCCTGGGCACTTTTTCTACTTATTATTATTACCATTATAGATAAGCCTTATGTTTCTCTGTAGACGAAGAGGAAAACAAAACTATTGGCAGCTCATGCTGAGTTGTTGCTTTTTTTTTTTTTTTTTTTTTTTGAGTTGATTTCTGCATAGGTGTTTCAAAGAGAGATTTGTAGGTTAAGATGCCAAGCAGCATTAAAATGTTTCAGTTTCATCCTCTCAGTCCCAGGCTCCTCTGTCCAGCTCTGTGTAGAATTTAGATCATCCGACTCAAACCCCATCTCCCCAGGGAGCTGTGGGGTGCTGCATTGCACTCACTCTTCCATCACCTCATTTGCTTTGAAAATGAGCGCTCCATTTTAGCATGTGGTCAAGGGATGAAGCAGCTTTGGAGGGGATGTGCGGCAAGATGATGCTCATCTTGCAGGTGGTGTTCAGTCAGGTTGTCCTGAAAGGACAGAGCATCTCAAGGGCCAGGTGAGGCTGGGAGCTTCCTAAAGCCCCATTCTGTCTCCCAGGTTGGCATTGCCAGAATGTAGGCAAATGCCCAACCTTGCATTTTGCTTTACTTTGTGTTCTTCTTTCATCATAGGCTGCTGGCATCTCTGGTGCTATTTCCTTTTCCCATCCTGAGCGTGCACGGAGCCATTCCCAGAGAGTTGGAGCTCTTCCACAAGATGGTGCCGAGCTCTGTCGCTCACAAGTGGTGCGTAATTGAAATACGGCACACATCCTCCTGGGGAAGGAAGAGGTAAGCCAAGAAAACAGGCCGTGATAGTCAGAGGTGTTTAATATACAAATAAGAAGTTGTTTCATAAGTATCTTATAAAAACTCCAATTTACTTCCCAATATTTTAGCAGATTATCTCAACGAAAACAGCAGATGTATTTTGGAGCGACGAGACAAATGTTTAGTGAAATTAAAGTTATTCATGTGCAGTCACACAGGGAATATTTGCATGATATTTTACTAATTGCTCCAAAATCTGACTTGTAGCAAATAAACAAACATAGGAGAAAAAATAAGCCAGCAGAAAGATTAGCCCCAGGCTTCTCTGCCTCTCTTCTAAGTCCTCACAGCCTTTCTTCAACTGCTCAACTTTTTTTTCTCCGGAAGCACAACGTTATTTCCTAGGGTCCAATCACTCTTCTCAGGCCCTCCTGGTTTTCCCCCCGCTATCTAAATCCCTTCCCAAACGATCCTATTTTCATCTTCCCTTTGAGCCCAAATTTTCAGCCCAGTTTCTGAGTGAAAGGCATCCACTGCTGAGCTGGCGTGAGGGAGAATTTTCTTAAGTGCAGGGAAAACACTTTGCTATTTCAGCTAACGCATTTGTGTAGGATTAACAATGCAGAAAAATCTAATGCCAAAGCAGTGGAGCGCTCATTGCAGCCAGGAGCTTAGACTGGAGTTCCTTCAACCTTCTGTGAAGAGTTTCAAGTTACAGCAGCAAAAATCAAGTTGTCATTGCTGATTGTTATGACATTATTTTATGTCAGATCTGTTTATTTGCCCTCCTGGAAAAAGAGAATGTATTTCAAGACGTCAAAATATTTTGTTTGCCTTCATTCAGTTGCAAGAGAAGCCTAAGGTGAGGTAGGAAAATGTGCATTTATCACATTTTGATGTGATGTATACAACTATGTATTTGTATATGCTCTATACTGAATGAGGATGCCAGACAACAAGTTCTGGAAAATTAGCGAAGGTTGGGATTAAAATTGACACGTCCTATCTAGAATCTTTATGGACTGCAGGAGCATGTGAGCAGATCACTGGGGGTGTCAAGCCCTCAGTTTCATGGAAGCACTGTTTTTTGCCCAAGGCGTGGAGTATCTAGCAACGATGGGCATCTGTTGGCTTCTTCCTATCAGTCACTGTAGGTGGATATGAATTTTTTTTTTTTTTGCATGACCTCTAGAGCTACAGCTCAAGAGTTGTTGTCCATGGGGGAGCAGGAGCTCCAAGTTGCCATTCCTCACAATTGGTGCATTTTGGTTTGGCTGAGGCCCATCAGGTCCTGGTGAACTACCTGTGCTGCACACCTCCTGGCTCCTTCTACGTGGGTATGCAGAAGCCTTCTTCTCCTGCTGGTCATGAGCAAATGGTGAATGGGGAGTGTTGAGCTTTGGACATGGGTTAGTGTCAAGGAGTCCATAAATCATGGGATCAGCCATACATCCAAATGGTTCTTCAGATACAGTAATTTTACAGGATCTTTTATGTTTTAACTTGCAGTAACACAAAAGGTGACTACTGCATGTTCTGAACAAAAAGGTAAAACCAAAGGAGAAAACAGCTGTTTTGTTATGGTTCTCTTTTTCTTTAAAGAGGGTTTTCTATTTCTGATGGTTACATGTTGAACTCGCTTTATTTGGCCCCTCCCATTTTCAGGTCACCACAGGAATATGTAAAAAGGAAATGTTTTATTTTAACAGAGTTGAACAAAGTACACAAAACACACCCTTCCCATTGCCTAACGTTCCTCAAGTTAAATTGCAGAGCCCAGCATAACTTTTCCTCTTGGTCTTTTATTTCATTGAAAAGGGCCCAGAATGTAATATTCATGCAGGAAGCATAAATTGTATTGCTGGAAGCAATAGCAACCTCGAAGCAAAATCCCTCAGGATCACTGTGCTCAGGAGCGTGCAGGCTGCTCCTGGCCCAACAAGTTTCCTCAGTGCCGTGCTTGTGTCTTTACACAGCCTAAGCTATAGGATTTCTTTGCTGCATGGTTTTCCTGACATTTTGGCCCTCGTAGACAGTTCTTGGTTTCAGGAGTAACTGCTAGACTCTTGCCCAACCATCCCACTCTGGGCCATCCCTTTCAGTATGCATGAGTAACTCCCACGAATGTAAATAAAAGTTATGTGCACGCATCAAGGGGAAATGGATCCATTTGTCATGGCTCCAGACAAGCAGCATCTCCCCAAGGAGCTACTTACGAGGCTATTGAGAAGCCAGCAGCAATGCGTGATAGGCTGCACCTTCTTCCATGTGTGTTGCAGAAATTATTGGCATGTTGCTGATGTTTACGGCGAACAAATAGTTTATTTCTGGGCTAAGAAAGATTCCAGTGTAAATACTCAACTGGCAGCTAGCTGGAAGTTTGCCACTTGAAGCTAAAAGGCCCATGACCAATGGTGTCAGATTAACATTTCCAAGTTGGACAATGTACAAATGGTGTTCTTGGACTGGAATAGAAATAGATGAAAGTGGTCTGCTGCAGTGCAAATAACAAACTGGCAACCAGCTGGCCATTGGAAAGAGAACATACTATGGGAATATGCTTTCTGCAGAAATACTTTATTTTGGAGATAAGCATTAACAATAAGAAGATGAGGCTCATTTAACAAGAACCATATGGTCTCATCCTGCTTTTATTTCACTCAGTAGCAAAGCTCTGATGATCTTTTGTGTGTGCAAGATAGGGATTGCTGTTAATAAATAAGCAAAACAGATTCAAGGTAGTTGTTTGAAATTGAAAAGAAACAGTAATGCCTGATCTACTGTTGCTTTTTAAAAGGTATGAAAGGGATAGTTTTAATCCACAAAATGCTATTTCAGGAGACAGTAACTGAAAGGAAGTGCTATTAAAGGTGTTTGTTGGAAAACAACTTCTGATAAAATCAGGTGAAGATCCACTCAAGATTGAGTTATCAACCCGTGTGAAACCAATACACAAATTTCTCCAAGCTGATTTGTGGCTGGGTTCATTCCATAAAAATGTTTGTATTTTTGTGGTGAGAAAACAACACCCTTTTTAAAAGTAGTTTTAACTACACAATTTGTTCTATTAGCAACTTAATCAGAGGTAACAGCATTTCACACTCTTGTTTCAATGTAATAGCAAAATTGAGTGATGCAAAAAGAAAAAAGCAATCTGTGGGTACTGCACTGCAAAATCCTGCTTTGGGAGCTTTTCAAGGATGTAAAACATTGTCTAGAGCTTTTTACTTTTATGGGTAGGAAGTAAAAAAGAAGCAAAGAGGAGAAATCTCATTCGTACCACAGTTGGAAAGTTGCAGTAAAAATGATAAAACTCATCACTGCTAACTAATTTTTATTTCATTTAATTTTTTTATAGCAGCTGAACTTTGTTGTTTTGGTTGCAAGAAAGCAGCAAGAGGGAAGCTTCATTTATCATAAAGATAAATAAAAAAATAAGATTTGAACATGGAAAAAATGTGCAGATCTTGTACTCAGCAGTTCACTTCTGCCTTTGGAGATAAGTACTAATCCCATTGATTTCCATATGCCTGAAAACAGCTCAGCAATATCAAAATTGCATTATATTACACATTTAGATATGGAGCAGAAATGCTGAGTCATGGCCTGAAGCAGTGATTGAGCACCTTGTGAGAAGGCAGGGCCAACCCAGGGGAACTCAGGTGTATGCAATGTACCTGAGTGACCAGAAGGTGTGGAGCCAGAATCCTTCCCAGACCTTATTTAAGGGTTGGCAGTGAAGGAAAGGGGGTTCTGTTGGAGACTTGAGGTCTTCTGAAGGTAAGCAGATTCTTTCCTTTGTTCTGTGTCCATTGCTGTTGCATTTGAACATATCCTTACTTGCTGTATCCTAAGACTTTGCTACTATGCTGTCACTGTCCTTGCTTTACTTTCCATTGCATTACAGCATTATGAGATGTGTTGCATTTCTAACTGGTTTTGCTGCCAAAGGTTATGAGTTTTTCTTTCTTCTTTGTATTAAAATATAGCAAATAGTAGAAGCTGAGGGAAGTGATAGACAATCATAAGGGTTCACGTGCTCAGTTCAGCGTCTTAGTCTCCTCTCTTCACTTTGAATACTCATTCTCCTTCCTCAGTACTTTTCTTGCCATGGTGTCAAGGCAGCCTTTCAGCCCCCATCTGAAAAAAAGCAGGTTTCCTAGCCTGTATTTCTCTACACTGGGAGTTGTTCCAGGGTGGACCAATGGTGAAGGCAACCCTGTGTGTGCTCTACTGGCTGGCTGTTTTTATGATGAATGTGTATATGAAACATGGCCCTCATCCAAAGCCCTTCAAATACTGGGAGGTTCCTGCTACACAGTTGAGGGCAGGCTGTACGCAGGTAAATCCAAATTATCGGGATTCAATTTTTCCAAGTTTTCAGCAGTTTTCCAGCAAAAGTGAACAAGAGGTGACTTCTGCTCACTCTCTTTTTATAGAGGCAGTATTCATTCCCAATGTTATGGGTAGGCAGCTCTGCTCCCCAAGAAGTGGGACCATGCTGCCTCACCATCAGCTCCCCAAAACTGGGGGAAAATGCTCAGCTTTCTCCCTTTATCTTGCTGACTCCCTCACTTTTCTCCTCCCCAGGCAGCAGGGATAGCTGAAGGAGCCTGTCATCCTTTTATTGCTGTTTCTAATAAACACATATGGTGATGCATATAACAATAACAACAGCAAGTTGCTATTGTTCCACACACAGCCATATGTGGGCTGTCCAGTGGCTCAGCGCAGCGCTGCCATGAGCAGCTGTGCTGTGAGCACTCAGGAATGTCGATAGCCCAAAGAGAAAGGAATGGCTGTAAGGACTCTGAGCCTCTGCTTCACATGCTAGAACAACTTCTTGAGTGTTGTGTGCCAAAAGTGTAGACGCAGGAGTTTATAAGGTGATTAAATTGCTAACGATTGAGATGTGGAGGCTTAACGATTAGCTGGGACTCTTTGAAGCAAGCTTTGCAAACTAAAATAATATATAAACTGCATATATATGTTCATATTTATGTGTATGTATGTGTGTGAGGTATGTATATTTATACTGTTTGTACTTCCTTTTGACATCAAAGATGCAGAAGTGATGGCTGCAATGCTTTGTGTACATCAGTGTTTCTCATAGTCTTTTAGGTGCTGCTTTTCCTAATGTTGTATTATGTAGTGGCCTGACTGAAAAACAAACAGCCCACCTGCACGTCTTCATCCTTCTATGAGCATGCTGATAGGAGAGAGAGACTGCAACAGAGAGAAGAGAGAAATAAAGCTTAAAAGCAGGCAACCTTTTTCAAATTTAGACAAACACCATCAGGCAACCATATTTTTATTTAAGCACTTGAATAATTCAATTATTTTTTAATTTCTTTTAATGAGATGCTGAATACCTACTGTAAATAAGAGGAGGGAGAAAATTGTATGAGATCCAGAAGATCAACTACTTGCATATGTCTCTGAGCATGGAGTTTGGAAGCTGCATTTGAATATCAAAGCGTGAGTGGTTTTGGTCTGTGTTCCTGATGCAGGGCAGGAAGTCCTCGGTACTGCACTTCTTTTGCTCCTTGCATGCATGAGTTACCTGTATAATGGAGTGATCTTAGAGCTATGGGGAGGGCTCCAGGCTCACCAGGAGGTGTGGCATCTGCAGTCACAGAGCTGTGTGCTGGATCTAGCCACTGGGAACCATGAATGCTTTTACCAAGTCCATGAAACCACAAACATTTGCATGCTCAAACATCCTAACAAAAAGCACAACTTTTTAGCATCTGCATGACTTACTTTTCAATATTGTACACAGTAGCCCAAGAAAGAAAAGAAAAAGAAAAAGGGCAATTTGTATTTACTCCAGCTTAGGCAGCTCTCTCCAATGGGTAAAGCCAGAATGTCTGTGCCAGTCTTTCCTGGAGTAACAAAAGGACAGATTTCACTCCCTGGTAGATGTGTATGGCTCTCATTTCCTCCAGGGAGTGGTGGCAGGACTTCAAAAACAGCCCGTGCTGAGGCCTGATTCTCAGAGGTCCCTCACATCCCTGGTTCCTGTTGGCTTCTAAGTGATGTGCAGCCTGAGGTTTTGCTCATCCTTCAGACGAAGCTTTCAAAACTCGTGATGTCTCAGCATGAGTCAGTGTTTTATGTAACCCCAGCTCGCATTCCTCCAAACCCCTCCTGAGCTCAGAGCGCTCCAACAGCCAATCTCAAATTCTTCTTCCTTGCAGCTGACAGCATCATTCCCTGATTGGCGGTGCGAGAGGCTCCTCAAGCCCTTCCCAAGGTTTTCTGGAGCTCTGGCACAACTCTTCTGAATACTTGGGGCCTGGATCAGGGCCAGGAGCGAGGCTGGGGAAGAACTGGGCTGAAGGAGGGAGCTCCTGATGGACCGCCCCAATGGGAAGATGGTGACTTTCCTATACTCAAAACAGAAATGGCCATTTCCAGGTTTTTAATCTGTTTTTTGTTCTCTTCTTACAATGAGATTAGTTTTTTTCCATGTTTCTAGAGGAGAAACAAAATGAAAAAAGCCCTCACATTTTTTTTAATGGAAACATGATAGGAAGGGAAGACAAGTGAGTCCCACTCGCTTCTGCTGGAGCACCTTGAGTGTCAGTTTTCTTTCATGACCCAGCTTACCATGCTAAAGGTGGGCACCGAAGCAAGCTTCAGGAGTGGCTTAGTATACCCTGATTATTTTTCACTGTTCTATGTGAACACATTGAGAAATATGCACTGCAGACAAGAGCAGATAAAACAGCAAGAGAAAGTGGGAAGCTAAACCCCTTCTTTTCTTTCATCCTGGTTGATTTGCAGCTGAAGAGTGGGATATCTTGATTTGTGACTGATTTTTTCTATTAGTCATGATTTGTTATTACCTAAAAGAATGGTCAGGTGCTGGGTTGGGTTACCCAGAGAGGTGATGGGAACCTTGTCCTTGGAAACACTCAAGGTCATGCTGGACAGGGCTCTGAGCACCTGTTTGAGCTGCAGATGTACCTGTTCATTGCAGGGGGGTTGGATCAGATGACCTTTAGGGGTCCCTTCCAACAAATGATTCTACATTTCTATCAGAATGTAGCAATGGCTTTTGGATGTTAAGTTGAAGACATTGCTGTACTGGAAACTTATAACAACATGGGAGAGCAGAGCGTGAGGAAGCATTCTTTATTTGATGCAGTCTGTGAAATATTGCTGGGAAGGATACTGAGGCCACTAGCCCACACAAATGCAGCCTTGTGACACCTGACCGAACTGCCATTGGATGCCCTGGGTATTGCAAGTGCTGGCCCTCTCACATCTCGATTCTGGAAGCAGTGGAGTAGTTCTTGCTCTCATTAGATGTCAACTTACTGAGATCTCTTGGCTGCAAAGCCAGTTTTAGGAGTCAGGAGGAGCTGATGGGCTCTGCAGTTCAGATGCAGCTCTTCCTTTCAGTGGAAGTGTTGTCATTAGTTATTTCTGAGTACATACATTTTTAAATATGTACAGTCACAGCCAAGTTTCTTAACTGTGATTATTGTAGAAAGCAAGGCGTGTGAACCACACCACTGGGATTCCACTGCTACTTGTTGACCACCAAAAGATTCGGCACCAATCTGGAGGTGTGAGCACCTTCATTCCTCAGGGAAGGGGCTGTCTTCACACTTTTTTTTTCTGCTACTCTATCAGCTGGCCCTAAAAAAAAAAAAAAAAAAAAAAAAGCTGTAATCTCTCCATAGATGCATCACCTGGTCTGTGTGATACATGCATTGCAGCCTGCCTCCTGCCTAGGCTGTAGCCCAATGGGTTTGCCTTGTTTTCTTTCTAGGGAATTTGGGCAACCCTCTTGCAACTTGCTTTGCCTATGGTCTGCTTTGGCTTTTTTTCATCTGCAAACATTAAATGCACCCCTCTGCCCCTTTCGGTGCATGTGAAAGCAAATGAAATAAATTATAATGTAATGGGGCTCTCCCTTCATGTTTACATCTTAAAACTTCTTATTGAGATCTTCCAGCAGCATTTGTGAGTGCCCTCTAGCTCTGTGCACTGAGGGCTCTGAATGAATTTATTGATGGTAGCTGGAAGAAAAATGGAAAACTGAATGGAATCCCTGGAGATACAAGGTATGTCATAAACTTCCCAAAGTTATTGACAAACGTTTTCTGCCAGTATCAATAAATCCCTCTAATTTCAGGATAGGCTACATTAATTATAGGTTGGCATCATGCGTGTAAAGGTTGCTGAAAGTTAAATCTGCAATCTGTCATGTTCAAATTGTGTGTTCATATGGAATATTTGTTATTTTAATACGTGGGCATACATAGGAGCAGTAAGAGCATCCATGATGTTTTAATAGGCTTTTATTAGTCGTACTCTCCTTGTAATCTTGTTTTACAGTATGTGCGCTCAATGTGTTTGTGTCTATGCTCTTCATGCACACATTGTGGGATGCCAAAACATCATTCTGCTTCCTTGTTTCCAACCACTTAGTCAGGCATTTGAATGCTTTCCAAATCTTGTTAAAAACCAGAAATAGCACTATCACTTCTTGTTCTTGCTGGGCTGTGCAGAAGGGGGCAGATGGAGCGGGGCTGGGGGAAGCAGCAAGGGGGTCCATGGCAGATATGGGACCCGAGGTGAGGGGCAGAGATAGGAAGAGCCTTGATGCAGCGAGGCCAAGGCCTGCTCTGGAGCCCTGTGCTGGGAAAGTGGGGCCTGGGTTTGTTGCAATGATGCTCCATGTGCTCTGCCTCCAGCTTATACAGCTTATGAACTGTTGCTTCCCAATCCAGAAATGACAGGGCACTCATCTGAGTTGAAGAGGTTGGTTGTATTTAGATTTTATGCTACATCCTGTTTTCTTTGCTTTTATTTTTTCTTTTCTTGGTTATTTGTTTTGGCTATTGTTGTTGTGTTTTTT